GGATTACCACCCTTCCGCTGATAGGCTTGCAATCGATTATTCTATCGGCAAGGTTGGGTTCTACCAGAACATTTACAACGACCGATCGCGCGTCTTGATATCGACCCCTGAGTAGAGTACCTTCAACCCGCAGAGGTTCAGAATTCAAGAGCCTTGGCGCTTCGTTCACCAGAGTCCAGCAATATCGAGTCAGTACTATATGGCCTCATCAGCTGTCTCCTGCTCTTTTGCTATGGGTTCGGATATGTTCCAGTTTCTGTCCGTAAACTTCTACTGGCGGTGTCGTTCTCGTGGACCCTTTTCTGACGTGCTAAAATAGCATCGCGCTGTCTGCCTCCTTCGTTCAGAACGGGTGGCGACTGAGTTGCTGACTAGCATCTTCGTCATCGTTCTGTTGGTCTTCATCAGCCGTCTTCATCATTGTATTGCAACGCCTCCGGCTATCAGAGAACGATGAGTAGATTCTGATCGCCGACTTTTCGAGGAAGACCGAGCTAGTATAATTTTCGATGACGTCTATACCATAAAGAGCGGGTGGAGAAGTTAAACGGAGACTTCGCCACGTTCTCCGATCCTTCTTCTTTCTCAATCAGGTCTGGGACCGGCAGGGGTGACTTAGTTTCAATTTAATAGCAATAAATTTTGTGTTTTCATTTATGCGTTAGTGACCATACTTATATCAGTATAAAACACAGTTTTATCATACACAGCGGGAACAATTTGGTTAGTCGGGTGTTTAAGGAGTACTAATGTTTCTGCTTATGTTTCACGGGTCTTTTTCAAGGTTTTAGGTTTGATTTCAGAAGTTCGTTCTGTGGTCCGCAGCCGCTGTAACGCTTGGGACTGAAAGGTGTGCTTTTGGCCCATGTTATTGGTTAAGAAATTGCTCGATAACAGGCTTAGTAATGCATGTATAATCGGTACAAAATTCATGTCAATCGTCCCGGTTGACACCGTCGTAAGAGTGGATAATTAATGCCTCTTTGATGTGTCTGTTAAGTCGGTTTTCTTCTTTAATGATGTCTGTGCAATCCGACCATTGGGGAGAATGACCTTTCTTTGTTGTGTACTGCATACGGAGGTTTTTTCTCATTGCTCTTTGACTTGTTAAGGATGAGGAATTGTTTTTGGTGCGTTGTTACCGCATGTCACTCGTGCTCAGCCGCGATAATTCATCTTCCCCAGCTCGACAGATGGCTTTTTGTTTTTTAAATGATGGTGTGCCCTGTTTCTCATAATATTTCCTCATAATTTTCTTATAATAAACTCAGCCTAATGAGTTGTTATTCTAGGAATTGGCCAATCACACATTAAGTTTATTAGAACCTTTACATATAATGTTAATATTATATTTCGGGTTACGTAATCTTTATAAGTTTATACTGAAATGTTTACGATAGGATCGAATTAGGTAAGATTCATTACAAACAATGTTACTTTTGACATTATTGCTGTTGCAAGTTGAAATCTCAGTCTGTTAAAATAGATACTGTTTATGCATTGTCCCGAAGAAGAATGCTGTTCTGTAGCCGAAACGTCGACCATCTGTGCAAAAAAAACCTTGTCTAATATCAATCATCAGCTTTACTTTGCTCTCAAAATCATTGGAAATTTGGAGAATTCACGAGTTCGTGGCGCAGAATCAGAGTGAATTTTCAAAATTATAATACATTAGATAATGAAACAATATGTAACAGTTAATAGCGGTAAAATTTTTATTTGGTCAGATATGTGGTAATGTTGTGTTTAAAGGATTTTGACCGATATGGAGTAAGTTCACATGTGGATATTGATCCAAAATAGAATCTGCTATGAAAATAAAACAGTTGATGATGCTGGATGCACTTACTTTGTTCCTTGTCGGCAACACTTTTTGATTCAGAAAAATCGTCGATGCAGCTGCCATCCTGATGGTGACAAAACTGATCTTCTTTAGCGACGGCGTTTCGGATGAAGACCTCAGAAAGGATGAGGAGGACGGCGGTTAAGATGGAAATGATCATCGGCGAAATGGACAATTCCGAGGAGCAACCAGCCCCAAAATGACGGCAAACAGGTCGGAGAACAACACAATCCTACAGAAAAAACTGTCTTCGTCAGAAAATGTATGCCAGCCACAAGTCGTTTGTACGAAACAGCTGCAAAAAACGGGTTCGAAGCGCCGACCAAGCGACAGGCAATTGCGTACTGACAGCCAAGCGATTAAGTAACGGAAAAACAACAAAGTTAATAAAGCATACAAAATTAAAGCATTACTACTTATCCTCTTCGGTACGATGTTAATTTTTTGATTTACATCTTGCATCGATTGAACATTAACCAACCATATGAACCAAGGGAAAGTCCAGTCCTAAAAAGCGATAACATCAGATAGCATGGCCGTCATCTCTCGCCCATTCTGCGATGACTACATCAGAACACCATGCTGCTCCAATGGTCTGCAAATTAGTGATTCGCGTTCCATTTTTCGGCTGTTTGTTAGGTGAATTCAATTATTCAGGGAATTAGCGGCAAAGAGAAGCCTTTTTCAGGTACAGATTCGAACCAGACATCTCCGGAGTAGGAGGCCAATCTCTTACCCCCGTCAAACCTCCTCCTATATTATGGAATTCGAATAGTATAATTAAAAATACGACTTTGCAATATGCACAATTCGAATACTATCCGTATGTGCGAGCAAATCATATAATAATAAAAATAATTTGATCATATTTGCGTTTACACCTTGTGCTGGTTTTCAGTCAGCTATCAGATGGCACACAGGGAACTGCACCAGAACACCATGCTGTACCTATTATTCGTAGGTCAACAACCTGCCACCCGTTTTTCGGCTGCATACACCGAAGTGGAACGAATTCCATGCTCAAGGGAATAAGCAGTTAATAAGTGAAAATCTAGGACGCGCAAGGGATTTAAACGCGGCCCCTTTATCGGTATCGAGCAAACAAATAACCCGTAGCACCACATTTCCCATTTGCCGAGATCAGTACTATATTAAAAATATAACAGACTGTGAAGAAAGATGAAAATAAGAAAATGTAAAACGATTCAAAGTGCAAGAATTTTAACCAACTTGTATGTTACGTATGGTCGTGTACATAAGTAAAAAGCAAAACATTTAAAACCGAATATAATAAGTTAATCGTTATAGGTACTATTGATAATTTATACTAATAATTCAGGATAATTGGTAATCAAGGTTCATTAACACATTATTAAAATGACTTAAGCACGGAAGTGGATTCATTTATGCTGAAATTTAATCGAAAATTTGACCACTATGGGATACCGAAGTATACAAAATTTACGTTATGCAAATTTTGAACGTGTCAGATCACCTTCGATCCGGCTTCAGGGAGAGTCGCATAATGTATTATATTTTTGAATTGTGATATCACCCAGCAAGAGAGTTGTCAAATATCATTAAGATGATTTTAATTAGAACTGCCGAAGTTTCAGCCAAAGTACATTGAACATCCTCAAGAC